ATAAAACACTTTTTTATACTATATGGATAATACATTATATATATTCATGAATTTATTGTTTGGCTTACCTACCATATATATATATATATATGTATGAAAATGCATGAAACACTTTTTTCTACTATATGGATAACAGATTATATATATTCATGAGTTTATTGTTTGGCTTACCTACCCCCCTTGTAAAAGAGAAGTGGTGGTTGGTGGTGAGCACGACTTGAGCAAACTTAACTAACCCTGCTCATTTGTTTCTGGTTATTATATACTACAAAAAGAAGCCATTTCAACGACACCATTTGCTCAGTCAAATCATGAACCTTCTTGTTTTAGATTGCTTAGGCAAGTTTTTAACAATCATTGCAAGAAAGTGATTATTTTATCCCGACTCATCTCATGAATACATACTTAATTCGTGATCATTTATTGGGAAATCTAAAAATTAGACCGTTAATTAGTAATTCACAAGACACCGCACATACATAACTATTATCAGAACTTCCTTATAACAATTGTCATGAATTTTTTATATTTAACTATCATATTGAGATAGTTTTTTTTTTTATATCGGTTAATAGTCAAATGAATTTGTTAAAAAAAAAAAAAATTAAATCAAATTAAATCAAATGATGAAATTATTATCATGAGTTTGTAGTATATAAAATTTAATTTTGGATCGGATTTGTCAATTCAATCTGAACCACAAGAAAAAGTGTAAAAAAAAAACATTTCTTCTCTACGTCTCTATAGCAGATGCAATTGCATGCCAATACCGCTCTCTTAAGCAAGTTGTGTCGGTACTTTTTTGGTTAAGGTCTCTCTTCCTTCTGTTTTTTGTGTGGTTTATGCTGTAATCATTTGCTGATTTGTTTATGTGATGTTGCTTAGTAGTTTAGTGTTTGTTTATAATGGTTTTATGGTCTGTTGTTTATATCTATATGTATCTCTATAATCAGGATAGGTATCACAACTTCAATTCACACATGGATGTATGGATTTGCTAGAATCCTTTAACAAGATTATGCCTTTTCCAAATCTTTCAAAATGGAATCTATGCCAAACATATAAGTTATGGTTTCTGTACTTCCACACAATACAAATATCTAAATTTGATATTTGTAGATACTTTTTGAGGCCTATAGCCATACAAATAGTCAAAATTTTGTATCCATTTGTCATATTTCTTTGCCCATTTATCTCCTTATTGAAATGGGTTGGTATTTATTTATTTATTTTAATTAATTTATTTTATTTTTTCAGACGGGTTTGAAAGGTAAAAAGACATTACTTTTTATATGATTTGTGACTATAAAATCTCAACCAATCATAACTTAAGAAACATGCGTTTGTGTTATTAAAATTTCTATCTCCAAGTCTCCAGTCGCTTTCTTCCACTTGCCTTGCAAGTATCGACTGGTCGAATTCAGATATCTGAAAAAAGTTTATGTATATATAATATATAAATATGCAGAAATAACAGTGTATTAATGTTCCGCACAAGATATATTATTTATTTATTTATTTTTATCCACACAAGATACATTATTGACTGACGGAAATATCTTGGATTTGGCAATAAATACAAGATCGTGATTGGTCTACTTGGAATGTATAATTTGCTATATATAGTGTAAAAAAAAAAAAAAAAAAACGATGTGAATTTGCTATTTACAGAACGCTCATCCAAAGTGGGGTCCACGGAAGAGAGAAGGTGAAAAATAATTGGCCAAGTAAGATTGCACATAGACCATGCAAAAAGAATGGAGATGGCTTAGTAATTGGTTGATTAATGAAAGAAAGAGATGGTTAAAGTGCAAAGACATGGTAAAAGTCTAAAAGACAATAAATTACCACTCAACTGAAAAGAAAAGTATCAAATATGCAAAAAAAAAAAAAAAAAAAAAAATCAAAATCAAAATCAAAATTAAAAAAAAAAAAAAAGGAAAAAGGAAAAAGGAGAAGATAATAGGATATGTGTAGAACAGTAAAAATGAAAATGCCTTGACAAAACCATTTATAAACTAAATTTCAAGAACAATAATCATATGTATTAAAATAAAGAAATTTGCCATAAAGAAATAAGACCAATATAAGAAAATTAATTCTAGGCCTGTGAATATGAGAGATATGTAATCCAAAATTTGAGATTGCAGCAAAAAAAATTATCTTTTATAAAATATGTTTAATCATGAAAAGTTTTTACAGTCAATTTTATTTCATACCCTTTCATATGCCTAAAGATCTTTTGAGTCCATCTATTGGTTATGATAAATTTCTTTTCTTTGATGTTTGGAAAGTTAGTTCTTCAATCTATGCAACACTTGCCATCTATATTGGTATGTATGACAAAGACATGTGAAAATATATTGTTCTAGGTTTAAATGTTGGGATCATAACAAATTATTATAGAGAGGGTATTAAGGAATTTTTTATTTATTTTTGTATAGTTTTATGTTGTAGTATTTCAATTTTTATATACTTTTGACTTTGACGGCGTTAGAAAACAAAGCTATTCGATACTAATTAGTTTCTAGAAGTGTTCACATGCTTTTTGAATATTGATACTACTCAGTGCTTGTTACGGCAGTAGTCTATAGTACACACTGTTCAAAGAATTATTTTTAGGGATTTTAAAAAATTTAGAATCAAACCAAATCATTTGATCAAAGAAAATGAATCAAATCAAACCGTGAAATATTAATTTAGTTTGATTTGATTCCACAATTCCCCTCTATATATATATTTTTCCTATTCATATTTCAAAATCTAAATGCACAATAATAAATCAAGTTAATTAATACATTCAGAACTACTAATACATTCATTTCTAGAAAATAAATTAATATATTTAAAATTACTAATATATTCAGAATTTCTAATTCATTCTTCTTTGTCACTTTTAGAACTGAAGTGCTTAATACATTTAGAATTAATAATTCAACAACAAACACTACAATTAAGAAAACCAATAATATTCTGCCTAGATTATATATATATATATATAACTTAAATGTTCGTTGGTTCGGTTTGGACTTAAAGAAATTCAAACCGTAAGCAAACTATATTTTTACGATTCCATAAATTTAAAATCGTGACTGAACCAAATCGTTAATAAATTAACCAAACTATCCGTTCTGATTCAATTTGAATTTTGAATTTATGGAATTTTTGTGTATCCCACGATACTAATTTGTTATCATTTGATGAAGTATATTAACTTTTATTATTTGTAGGTGTACCGCGTATCTACCTATATGTTGACATCAAATGGATATGATCACTAAATAATAAGTAGTGGATAATTAGTGTCACCGTCCTCAAATTTGAAAAGCAAAGAAATCTTAATTTGTACCTGCCAACTAAATATATCATTACTCCAAATTAAATCCAATGCAACAAAGCTTGTCACATGTCCAATCAACGTAGTATTGCTGCAATGGTGGGGGTAAAATGAGGTGAGAAAGTCCAAATATGGGTAAAGTCTAAAAAATCTTGTCTTTATATAAGAAATTTGCAAAAAAATACTTTCATGCATATAAATTCTTGTATTTTTTAAATTTGGAGCAAATTGTCCTTTAATAGTCAATTTTGAACAATTTTTATAAAAAATCAAAATGCCCTTAAGAAAATCTTAGATATTTCTTTTTATAATAATAATTTCAAAGACGAAATTAGTATGACTGATTTCTAACGGGACGGAGTTGGATTTAGCCAAACTCGTCTGAACTCCGTCCCGTTGTCATCTCTAATTACCCAAGGCCAACTCCGCCGTAAGACAATCTAAAGTCCCAATGGGTGAAGATGCCTCATACCATTCATCTCATTATATCAATAATAGATTTATTTAATTTATTAATTTTGCTTTGTTTATTATATTAATTAACAAATAAATACAATTACTTTTTCATTGATCAATATAAGTTGATAATTAAGGTGGCAGCTTAAGGTCTCATGGGACAAGAGGTCCCATAAAAGTTAACTCCATTATATTAATTATATATTTCTTTTTATGTATGCATCATGCTTTGTTTGTTGTATTAACTACCAAATAAATATAGATACTCTCTATTAATAGTTAATACAACCTTTTGGATTTTTTTTTTTTTTTTTTTTATTTAAATTTTAAATTCTCTTGCATATTCTTTAAGTTATATGTCTTTTGAATTTTGTAATTTATTAACTTTCTTGCACATTAATTATCAACACAATTAAATCACAGTCTATTAAATTTAAAACGAAAATATTATTTTTTATAATTCTTTGACCTTATTGCAAGTTTAGCCGGAAAGAATATTATCAGCACAATTATTAATATTTTATTAATATGAAAAAACCCAATTTAATTATTTCACTTTCGAACTACAACAGCATCAAGCGGTCTCCATATTATTGATAGAAAGTATACAACCTTCCAATAGTAGAGGTCGCACACAATTTTCTCAAGAATATCTATATATATATATATATTTTTCCTAAGATTATAATGTACTAGCTAATTGATAGTTGTTAAATTAATTTCCGAAAAAAATAAAAGTTGTTAAATTAACATAAACATTATAAGAGTTTCTATAATAAAACTCGAATTGATTTCCACCTTAACTTAAATAGATTAATTCATAATTAAATTATATGTCGATTCTAGGTTTACCTAGTTGAATTTAATAATTTTTTAATTTTTCGTTCTGAATATTGGTGTTTGCTGAAGGGCATTTGAGTAATTTAGACAGTCCCTGTACGGACCTGGCTGGAAACATGGATGATGACGTTGTGCTTCCGTTATTCACCAACCTCCATATTTTGATTTTTTGACCAGTAAAAACCCGCGTTTTTGGACCCACATCTGCACACACTTACACACACCACAACAACCACACCGCCACGTGTCATTATCTCATCCGTCAAATCATCTACAATCCAACGGCCACCGTCACATTTCAACTAACACATTGCCCTTCCCACCTACACTCGATGACAATAACTCTCTACTTAAACCACCAGAAATCAATCCAAAGCCTCAGAAAATTTCAGCTCAAACGCCTGTAATTTTCTACCTCTTTCTCTCTCCTCCACTCTCTCTCTCTCATCCTATATATACACAGATACATACACTATATATTCTAGCACTAAGCTTCAAAAACATATCATAGCCCACATATATTTCTTAGCCGTTTGAGACATTAATTTTTGTCATTCTTTATTTTCTTGCATTTTCTATAATGGAACTTTGTAATAATGGTCATGCCTCGGTCAAGACCTCGTGTGTCCATGACCCATTGGGTTGGGTTGCGGCCGCGGAGGGGCTACAGGGAAGCCACCTGGATGAGGTGAAGCGCATGGTGGCCGAGTATCGGAAGCCGGTGGTCTTGCTAGGCGGGGAGACCTTGACCATATCACAGGTGGCCGCGATAGCCACCCGTGACACGGAGGTGAAGGTGGAGCTGTCGGAGACTGCCAGGGCCGGCGTGAAGGCCAGCAGTGACTGGGTGATGGATAGCATGAAGAATGGGATTGATAGTTATGGTGTTACCACTGGTTTTGGTGCAACTTCACATAGGAGGACCAAAGAGGGTGCAGCACTGCAGAGGGAGCTTATTAGGTAAATTAATAATTTTATTTATTTATTTATTATTTTTTATTTTTGAAAATTCAAGTAAACACATACTCACAGTATTATTTTCGGGTGACAAGATTAATTATACCATTAAAATTAATTAAGCTTGAGAGATTTGATTTTATAAAAATAGATGGAGGTTAATATATATGTATGTGTGTATTGTCACTAGTGTGTACATATATATATATATATATTATCTTTTGTCTCAAAAATAATGTTATGTTTCGAGAATTGTGTCAGTTTAATCTAATTTATCAAAGTCACGATTTTTTTAAAGTGACACTTCTTGTGAAAGGAGGAGGTATATGTATAGCTCAAGCGGGTGTCTCACTGTCTTGTTTTTTATTACTGTACTATGTTGTTTGATAATCATTGACATCCCAGCTTTTTACACTTTTCATCCAATTGGTTTTCAGAAAATAAAATGACATAATTATTTCAAGAAAATATTCATGCCGTTCACTTTTAAGGTGTAATTTTGTAATTTTCTTTATTGAAAATAAAGTGACATGCAAGTAAATAATAATAAAAAAAGGAATAATACATCTGTAAAATTATTATTGCTGAGTAATTAGAATTTTTTTGGACAATAAGAATTAAAATTCACAGAGGTATCAATTGCACGTGTTTAAGCCCAGTCACGTGTCCAGTTATGGATCCTTAGATCCAACAAATCTCTGCTTAATTGTTTTTTTTTACTGACACAAAGTTCAGGTGATGTCCAGACTCCAGATTAATAATACCAAAACAGTAAAAAAATAAAAATAAAAAAATAATACCAAAAATATGAAACTGTAACAATAAGATAATAAACAAATTTTAAATAAAGCTTGAATAATCAAGTAACTTTTTTTTCCCCCGAATTAATAATCAAGCAATTACTATTTATTTAAGACTAGTGATTGAATTTTAATGAGATAAAAAAAGAGAGAATGTGATACTTTACTAACTCCTTGTGCTAATCATGATTATTAAAATGCTTAAGCTTTCTTGGTAATAGAAATGATAAAAAAAAAAAATAATAATAATTGGAAATTGCCTCTTATTTCTTAATTTTCTATAATTTAATTGTATTCCTAATTAGAAATTTTGTCTCCTAGCATAGCATCACCTGTAAGGCACGTGCCCACTTGTACAATGAAAAAACTGAATTTATTTGTGGACCCCATCACTTTGTCTTTTTTCTAATTTCTATCACTATTATGATAAATGATAGCCGCTGTTTTTGGCAAAAAAAGTTAATGTATCCAGCTTATGGCCGAAGATGCCCAACCATTTTTTTTCGGTCCACATACCCAGGATTCTCTGAGAGTGAAATCCAAATTGAAATGACGACATTTAACACCCCCCATAAATTCAATAAGAGGTTGGATGTCAAATTATGGAGTGTTCTCGTGAGGCCCGACACTACTATCGTGGATACACGCAGGCCAAAAATAAAAAATAATATTCTCATTGAATTATATCAACTTTGTTCTTGTCCAAAGTAATGTTGCTAACCATTTTAATGAAATTTTGGTGACACCAGATTCTTGAATGCCGGGATATTCGGTAACAGGACGGAATCTTCCCATATCCTACCTCACTCTGCAACTAGGGCCTCAATGCTGGTGAGGATCAACACCCTCCTTCAAGGATATTCAGGGATTAGGTTTGAGATCTTGGAAGCCATAACCAAGTTGCTTAACCACAACATCACACCATGCTTGCCCCTCCGTGGCACGATCAGTGCCTCGGGTGATCTGGTCCCACTGTCCTACATTGCTGGGCTTCTATTGGGCCGGCCCAATTCAAAAGCCGTTGGGCCCAATGGAGAGTCACTCAATGCTGCCGAGGCGTTTGGGCTTGCGGGAATCAAAACTGGATTCTTTGACTTGCAGCCCAAAGAAGGGCTTGCGCTAGTCAATGGCACTGCTGTTGGTTCTGGGTTGGCTTCCATGGTCCTCTTTGAGACTAACATCCTCGCGGTCTTGTCGGAGGTTCTATCGGCTCTCTTTGCCGAAGTAATGCAAGGAAAGCCCGAATTTACGGACCATTTGACCCACAAGTTGAAGCACCACCCTGGCCAAATTGAGGCTGCAGCCATAATGGAACACATTTTAGATGGAAGCTCCTATGTCAAAGAAGCTCAAAAGGTACATGAAATGGACCCTCTCCAAAAGCCTAAACAAGACCGGTACGCCCTCCGAACATCGCCCCAATGGCTCGGCCCACAGATCGAGGTGATCCGAGCATCCACCAAATCCATCGAACGAGAGATAAATTCAGTGAATGACAACCCTTTGATCGACGTTTCGAGGAACAAGGCCCTACATGGAGGCAATTTCCAAGGCACCCCAATTGGTGTCTCAATGGACAACACTCGTCTGGCCATTGCATCAATAGGGAAACTCATGTTTGCCCAATTTTCCGAGCTAGTAAATGACTATTACAACAATGGTCTCCCCTCAAACCTCTCCGGTGGTCGTAATCCGAGCTTGGATTACGGGTTCAAAGGTGCTGAAATTGCAATGGCCTCTTACTGTTCCGAACTCCAATTTCTTGCTAATCCGGTAACCAACCATGTCCAAAGTGCTGAGCAGCATAACCAAGATGTGAACTCATTGGGATTGATCTCTTCAAGGAAAACAGCTGAAGCTGTTGACATATTGAAGCTCATGTCTTCCACTTACTTGGTTGCTCTCTGCCAAGCCATTGACTTGAGGCACTTGGAGGAGAACTTGAAAAACACAGTGAAAAACACAGTTAGCCAAGTGGCGAAGAGGGTTCTAACCATGGGCTGCAATGGTGAGCTTCACCCCTCTAGGTTCTGCGAGAAGGACTTGCTCAAAGTGGTGGACAGAGAACACTGTTTTGCCTACATTGATGACCCCTGCAGTGGCACTTACCCATTGATGCAGAAGCTGAGGCAAGTCCTGGTCGAGCACGCGTTGATCAATGGCGACGGAGAGAAGAACTCTAGCACTTCAGTGTTCCAAAAGATTGGAGCTTTTGAGGACGAAGTAAAAGCCCTTTTGCCTAAAGAAGTCGAAAGTGCAAGACGTGACGTCGAAAGTGGCAGGCCAAGCATTCCGAACAGGATCAAGGAATGCAGGTCATACCCATTGTACAAGTTTGTGAGGGAGGCATTGGGGAGTAGTCTCCTAACCGGTGAGAAAATCCGGTCACCGGGAGAGGAGTTCGACAAGGTGTTCTCGGCCATGTGTGCAGGGGAGTTGATTGATCCAATGCTGGAGTGTTTGAAGGAATGGAATGGAGCTCCTCTACCTATATGTTAGAATATATAATAACCATATATACTCTGCGAACTTTACCATTATTGTTTCTTTTTTTCTTTTTCTTTATTTGTAATTTTTTGCTCTGTTATTTGCAGTGTATGTACCTGAAATTTGATTTCAAAGTGTTTATGATATTTGTATACTTCTCTTTCTATGATCTTTATGATATTTTTATGGGTAAAGTGCAATAAACCCCCTCCAACTATACCTTAACTACAAATAACCCCCCTCAACTACAAATAACCCCCCTCAACTATGGTCTTGGTGTAGTCTTAGGACAGAGAAGGTTATTCCGGTCATCTCTTTTCACCGGAAATTAGAAAAGTCCATTTTACCCCTCATCAAACCACAAACGCAGCTAATAAAATAGAGATAGAGAGAGAGAAATGTATAGAGAGAGAAAGAAGAGACCAAAGAGAGAACTCAAGAAACGACGTCCATGGCGGAAGAAAAAGAACCACAAAGAGGTAACATCTATGAGAAACCATCATCATTTTCTATAGAACCTCCTCAAATCCATACTCCCTTGGTACGAATCAGCCTCTACAATCACATCATCTTATTCTTCTGGGTTGCCGGCATTTTACGCCTCTGTTCTGTCGGAGGTTAATTCTCTGGGCCTCCCACTGATACAGAGAATTAAACTTCTTTCTCTCTACTACTCTGCAATCCTTCATTTTGAAGAACAATTCTCAGTCCATGGTCCCAAATCAGAAACCCTAACCATCAATTAAAGAGGGTTTTTGAAAATACGCCGGAGCAATTCGTCCTCATGATCGTATTGAGCAAGAAAAGGTACACCGACGGCAGCACCGAAGGAGGAGAGGCATCGGTCTTGTTCAGTTGGGTATGGTGGTTCATTCATCTCTTACTGGGTGCCCAATCTCACCACAACTCATTCTCTTAATGAGAACTAACGAAGTGGGTGTTCCCCTTGTGCCCATCATTCCCACCACAATCCTCTCAAAACCCAACTCTGAAATTGACAAATCGGTTCCTATATTCACCCGAGCCTAACATTTTTGTTCTGTTTTCTTATAACAAAATCGTTTTCTGTGTGTGAGGGGGGAGAAGCAAATTATCTGAAACCCATTTTTTGATTCCTTCTAATTTCACATTCCATTATCATTCAGAAAAGGGAAAAAAAAAATGTTGGCATGAAGTATGTGTGAATGAGATAGAGTGATGGAGATTTTTTTTTTTTTTTTTTTTTTCTGCTCTGCCCATGTGATGGAGATTGGGTTAAATGTAACGGGTGGGCGCTTACCCATTTACCCAAAAACTCGAACTATTTGGTAGTGCTGCATACCCACCCATTTATACCCATGTCACTTCCAGTTTCCCCTTGTAACATTCTCTCCCACCCGACCTCGCAATGCCCACATTGCGGTCGGGCCACCCTACCTACTCGGGGTGGCTTACCCGGACGCCTTCTAAGCCGGGTGCTTGGCGTGACACCGGATCAAGGATTGGGTCTGACTCTGATATCAAGTGTAACGGGTGGGCGCTTGCCCATTTACCTAAAAGCTCGAACTATTAGGTAGTGCTGCATACCTACCCATTTATACCCATGTCACTTCCTATCCGGATCCGATGTGGGACAAGTTTCCCCTTGTAACAATAAGTTATAAGTGTTTGGATTGATGGTAACAAAATGGGTATTGTTGTCTTTTCATATTCATAAAGGCACTATGGTCATATACATTCAAAATGTGTGTCAAACCAACAATTCATAGGGTAAAGGCACCGGAATGGGTAAGTTGCAACCAAACAAGTAAGTGTAGGGGGGTTTTATGCTACTTTAGAAATTCAGGGAAGTTTTTTGCCTATTAGGGTATAAGTGAGGGGGATTTATTACACTCTACCCCTTTTTTATTTTAATTTGTGGGACAAAAGTTCCACAAATTAGTAATATATGTGTAAGAAATGCCTTTTTCACTCATCAACTTTGAAAAGTATTCTATGGAGATCAGGTCCGGCTGGAATGTGTGATCTAAATTTGAAAGGAAATAAATGACAAATTGTTTAAGGGACACAGAAGATTTGTTATTCCAAATACTAGAATTGACTGGTCAAGTCACTTGGTACTTTGCATTTAGTCTCTTGAGTTCATTTATGTCATTGTTGAGTATATGTCAAACCACCTATGAAGCACGATAGGAACAGGTGCACAACAAAACAATTTTTTTAAAAATAGGACACCGACACAATAGGATATTTATATATAATTCACAATATCATAAATTTAACCTTTCCAAAAAAAATACTGTAATAAAAAAAAAATCTTCAATTAATTAAGAACAAAGCAAAGTTATCAACAACTTTACAGTTTACATTTTATACACATCCACAAATAATTGTTTTGATTTCTCTGTGTTTTTGTTGCTACAGTCTAAAAGTTTATTTAATTCTAGTATTAAGATGAATGAATCAAATAAAAAAATAAATATAATGGATTCATAAAATTTAATAAAAGTAAAAATTCAGAATCTCAAAAAAAAGAGTCAAAAGAGTTAAATTTTATTATTATTATTATTATTTTTTTATAATTCTACCAAAACAATTTATCATTTCATGAGTCATTGCATATTTTCTATTCTGATAGCATTTTTTCTTTCAAAAATCTTGAACAATTTTTATTTTTTATTAGTTCATTAAATTTCTTTTGCTTACCCACCCCCACCAATACATTAATTTAATGGTGGAACATATTGCATAAGTTAGTAGAGTCCCACTAATCATTCCTACCAAAAGAGAAAAATCATGATTAGCCACATAACCAAGCAAGAGTGGGGGGTTGGTGAGGCACCGACAGATTACTGACACAGACGATTATATCGCGCGCATATACAAATATAATAACTATATATACACATACACATAAGCACAAATCATATTGGGAGAGCTCAGATCTAAATTTTTGAACAAGCTCTCAAAGATTGTTTCTCTCTCTAACAGAACACACACACTCTCTATCTGAATAATGGAGTACGAAGGAATACTCTTGGGGATGGGAAACCCCCTGTTGGACATTTCAGCAGTTGTGGACGAAAATTTCCTCAACAAGTACGTTTCATCTCCCAATTAATCTCTTTCTACTTATATATATATGCACGTATATGTGTATATATATATATATTCTCACAGTTTCACACACATATGTGTATATATGTTCATTTGATTCGTGATCGCGGTTTATATAATTGTTTTTTTTGTTAGTTCTTTGTACTATATAATCCCATTACTCGTATTCTATTTGGTTGCAAATGGCATGCTGATTTGGATATGTGCGCTTTCATTGTTTGATTACATTCTTTTGGTGGCAAAAACAGATCTGCAGCTAATATGATCCTCTCTTTTTTCTTTATTTTTTCAGAATTTGTTGTTGTTGTTTACAAAAATGTTTGTTTGTTTATCCATTTATTTGCCTTTTGTTTTTTGGGAACACGAATGATGAATATTGAATACTAAAATTAGCACATTTCCAAAATGATAAGTAATACATTTGGTTGAGCTTACAAAAAATTGTAATCTATGATGTTGTGGCCTGAATTTGGTTCCGGGTCACAATGCACAACCCGTTGATTGAGCTTTGTGTGACCCTTTTTTGCTTGTAGGTCGTGGACCTTATTTAGTATTTTCTTGTAATCCGATATAGGGTTTGGAGTGGGAATTATTGAGAGACATTGAAAGTGGCAGAAAAAAGAGTGAGAGCGAGAGCCAGGGTTTGGGGGCTAAAACTTGTAATCTCCAGATTTTTGCATAATGAATTCTTTGTCAGATCTTCACCCTGGACGTAGGCTTTGCCAAACACGCTAAATCTTTGTGTTCTTTGTGTGTGGTGTGTTTACTTTCTGTCATGTTTCTTTGTTGTTTCTTGGGTTCGTTGTGTTTGTTGTAACATAATCTTTTGGTATTCAAGCAAAATAGCTACCCATTTTTGGTTAAAACCAAATAAAAAATTCAGGACATGAAATAAGAAATGATTACCTTTATATAAAAGAAATACAGGACATGAAATCAGAAATGAAGCAGCTTCAAATAACTGTATTTTTGTGTTTAAGATTGTATGGAATTTTCAATAGTCATGTATTTTATGTAGACATTATGGGTGGGTTTACATGAACAGAACCTGTATGTATATGTAAACATAATTTGATAACTTCTTCCTTCTCCACCATTTTAATAAAGCCCTCCAACTCCAATATCATACTTTATTTTTTAATGTGATCTGTATGTTTAATAAATTTTATATGAACCTTCAATTTTGTTGTTGGTTACAATTATAGTTTATTCTATAATAGAAGAAAATCATAGAATAATGTTTAAAGTTTGTCAGCCACTTGTTAACAAGTGTCAATCTATTGTCCAAGTCTTATTGATTTTATTTTTCCATTATGCATATGTTCATGATATATCTAGTATGTGTTCTTCTGACATATATTATGGTTCGAGAAGTCCTTGCTTCCTACCGCAGCTGGGGATGCTTTTATATATTTGGTTTAACAAAGAACAAAATGTTGAAAATAACAATATGAATTACTTCTTGGTGTTATTTCTGTAAAGATTACTTCTTCGAAAATATATTTTTCAGGAATTACAAATTCCAGTAGTTGCTGACAAATCAAATGCACCCAAATACTAAAATCTTTTATCATTTATGTTGTATTTTTTATCCTGAAACAACAAAAATTCACCTCAGTCAAGCGCAGTACTTGTATTTTTCAGTCACAGTTGAATTGAGCTTTTTGTTATTTTTCCTTTTTCTATGTTTATTTATTTTAATGAGAAAATGTGTTGAAATGAAAAATGTGGACATATTTCAGAAGCTTTATTAGGATGGAGCTAATCCGAGGAGGTAATCCCCCCTTAACTCCTACACCAGCCAACCAAACAAAAAGAAAAAAATGCATGTTGGCAATACACTATAGCAATATCCTATAGCAAAAAGTTGCTGGGAAATATTTGTCATCAGTAGCTTCCACTCCTTACCTCAGTTGTAGTCTGAAATTCTGATTAACAGTCAAATCCTGAGCTAGAGTAGTGTGTTTAACACCCTCGAGACCTGCAAATATTCCTCTGATGTCTCTACCAATTACAAGCAAAAAGATGTTTTTGTCCTTGTAATCATTTAAAAATATACTTCTATTACATTGACGTCAAGTATCATATACCTTAAGAACCATTTTGTAAAATAATTTACCTTGAAGGACACAATACTATTTGATCCATGTACCAGGATGTTAAGCTACATTGCAGTAAGCATAATTCATTTTCCATAAATACTTGGTAAGATCACAGAAAAGATGATGATTGTGAGATCAACGTGCCTTCAACAGAACACATAAACAGCTCTAGTGAGAATACCCTTTCTTTAGCTACCTATCTTAAGTTGAAAGGAATTTTTCTGTTGGCAAGTTATACTACGAAAGAACAGCATGGAATAGCCTTTGATACCCTGAGTAATTCTCCCCATGGAATTGTAGGAATTTTGTTACAAAGATGACACCAGGCACTACCAACTGAAAAGGTTTCAGAAGCTGAAGGGATCCTCAAATGCCTTCCATTATATCTATATGAGAAAAGGATGAACAGGGGATTTCTATTAACTCACTCAGTTCTATTGAGTTCAGCAGGTGGCTAGTTCCAGCAATTATCACGAATAACATTGCTCACCCTGGAATAGTCACTCAATTCTAGCATCATACACTATCCTCTTACCATATCGATGAATCAGAGGACCATAGGAATTCCCATTGTCAAACTAAAGCAAATTGACATCCAAATTATGTTAATAAGTAGGCAAGGTTTATCTTGTTAAGCATGACCACGAACAGTGATTTAGAATTTGAATTTCTCAACTAGGATTTTGATCCATTTCTTATAGCTTCAATTAACTCAAATTGAAGATTTCTTCATAGCAATCACTCGTACATGACACGATTGGTTGATTCCATTCCTTTAGCCCACAAATTACCACCCTCTATCCTCTTCAAAAGGTTGCACACTGAAAGAAATGCTTTGGTCATCTTCTTTAGACCCACTTTTGTCAACATAAACTCTCAAAATATGCCTTCAATCTTCAATAATCTTCATTGTTAAAATAAAGACATAATTTGAATATATTTGGACACTAAACAAGACTGCTTTAATTAGTTGCATCCTAACTGCAAAAGATAATCTATTAGTTCATTCATATTTTGACAGTGATATGATCAATTAGCACAGTACAGTTCTCCTTATCAAGCTTAATCTTAACCAAAGAGACCCACAAATACCCAAGGCAACCTGAATTTAACTACAAATTGCATTTTGGTATTCTCATCAACCTCAGTTAAGTATAGGCTTTTGTGTACTGAGTCTCTTGTAACGAAAGAACATAAATTTAATTTGCTCTTCTTCATTTTCTCTGCAACCAAAAGCATAAATACTTTTATTTGTTTTTGTACCTATTGGAATTAACAACTGTGGATCTGTTTTCAAGCAGAGATACTTTGGTTTATTATTGATCTGCTTTCTACAAATATGTATTTATGTATGTATATGCATACACGTGCATGTACATGTCCAAATCTTTTCCTTTCAAAACTCTTTTCATACAGTAAATATTGTTTGAGGTGTTAGGTTATTAATCATATCTATTATATATACACACACACTATCTCTATCTGCCGAAGAAGCATAGATTTATTTTGCTGATAAGCCCCTCACAGTCCTAACATAATTGGAACTGCCTAACCATTGTATTTGTTATTTCAACTTTATTCATCATTACCTGTGCTTTTGTTGACTTCGTATGTGTTCTGTCAGCCTTTTGGCTCTTGGTTAGTAAAGAGCCTATTTGGATGCACTTTGTTAGCAAAAAAGAATTTACAAACTCAATGGAATGTATTTTATTAACAATTTTTTTTTTTTAATTAAAGAAGTATAGCCCATAGAATAAGAAGCACAAAATATACAGCAAAGAAGATTTGTAAAGCAGGAAACCTGAATGTGTGAAAGCTGTATATTGTGTTCTGATGATGCATGCGGCTTTTAGTATGTCATTGCTTTTTTATTCAGCTTTTATCTATTCCCAGGCTGTCTTTGTTATATAAAAAGAGCTGGGTTTTTGTTGTTTACTTTATTTATTTATTTATTGATATTTGATGAGAAATTACATCCTTTTCCTTGCTGCCTTGCACTATTCAATCTTTGTCCTTGTCATTAAAAAAATTGTTAGTTGACCACTTGACCTTCATTGTCAAGCTTGAATGCAAATATGCAATTACCCGAAGTTCAATTACAACTTAAAGATTGTGTACTACCCTTGTTTGTTATTTAATGATGTCAAATATGTTAGTCTCTTTACTATTTTTGTACTGTATAAGCTATCAACCTTCTTATGTATTTTATTTTATTTTCTGTGGTTGAATTTCATTACTCTCAGACCTAAATTTGGTTGGTAACAGATATGACATCAAGTTGAATAATGCTATTCTTGCAGAGGACAAACACCTCCCCATGTAAGCTTTTATTTTTACCCTTCGCATTTAATGATCTTTTATATTCCTTCATTGGTTTATAAGATTCTCTTGACTTAATTATTAGATGATAGAATCACCTCATCTCTTCAATGGAGAACTGACATTATTGAATTAAATGCAGTCTCTTTGCGAACTTCACTCGAGATGTATTATGATCCTTAAGATCTTGGTCCACAGTTTTTTGTTGCTACTAGCTGAATTTCTTTTATGTTGTATCAATTTATAATGGGTGTCTTTTTTCAGGTATGATGAATTGGCTGCCAATTCCAATGTGGAGTATATTGCTGGAGGTAACATTAAAATATCTCCAATTGGATCTTTGATGATGATTCTGTACCAGTTTGCTGCATAATGTTGTTGTTCTTTGATATCTCAATAGCCACATGCTAGCTGATGAGTTTCATCTTGTTTTGGTATCTGTAGGTGCTACTCAAAATTCAATCAGAGTTGCCCAGGTATGTTTCCAATATACAGTACACACTTGGGGCTTTAGCTATAATCTTAATACCAAAAACATTAGTATTATCTTCCTTGTGTGCACTACAGTGGATGCTGCAATTTCCTGGAGCAACTAGTTATATCGGTTGCATTGGAAAGGACAAGTTTGGGGAGGAGATGAAGAAGAACTCAAAACTTGCTGGTGTTAATGTAAGTTTCTTTTTTGTAATGCTCCTTGTCATTTTCCCAATTTTCTTGCTTACTGCAGCTGATTAGCTGTTTTGGAAGTTCTAATGGCGATATATATATATATGCAGGTTCACTATTATGAGGATGAGACTGCACCAACAGGTACCTGCGCTGTTTGTGTTGTAGGCGGTGAGAGGTCAGTTCCACATCATGTCTGTCTGGAAACTTTTGCGTTCTCAAATAGTCTGGTTGCTAACCCATAAGGCCACAAATCGCTTCATGGTTCATAAAAACTGTCATCTCTGTTTTAGAACATTGTTGGTGGTTACCATTTGAATGGTGTTTAACATTTTGACAGAGAATTTCTTTTTTGTTTTTTTGTTTTTGCTCTCTGTTTTTTGTAAGAACTTATAGGATTCTTTTCATGCCACTGTTTATTGCTGTTTACATGTTTCTAATTTGAAAGATTGCCCTAAAATAAAAAGATGGTCTCTAAACTGGGTAGTCTTCACCGATGAGATGTTGATTACAAGATTTATAAGATTTGCTCATCGATCTATCCAGCTGTTTGATAATCACAAAATTTTCACCAAAATGTTTGGCATCAAAAGATTAGATGTAGTTGAAATGCTCACGAGTTTCATCTTAGTTGTCCATCATGGGCCATTCCCATTCTAGAATGCGGCTTCTCACCATATTATGCATGGTATTAGATATTTTGGTACATAATCCAGTTATTTTTCCTTTACAAATATACATAACAAATTGTCTATCCACCTTTTATAAGGGCATGAAACAGTTCGAGAATTATCATTCTTCCTTGATATGCTTACGCCCAGTACAAATCTATTTTGCTCATCTTTTTCCAGTTTATTTTGTAATCGGTGTGGTATCTATACTTTATACCCATAACTGGCTGCTGCAAGTTCTTGAAAAAGTTAAATTGGCTGTTGTGTGCTATTTAGTTTATTTTTTTCTTTGGAAATTGTGTGCTATTTAGTTTCTCTTGTTCATTTTCTTAAATTTTTTCTAGTGTTCAGACTTTAGCAGACAATCTAACAAGAGCTTGCAACAATGTTCCCTTTTGTGCACATTCAGTTTTAGGTTGTCCATTATATTTCCTGTTAACGTTAACATGTCAACGTCAACATTTCCTATAAAAAAGGATTGTCCAGTATTTCTCCATTTTATCCATCCTTCAATTTGTATTTTTTACCCTGTTTGACTGGCGTCATTGGTCCATATTCTGCTTCCAAGTTTCTGACACAAGAATCTCACCTTAAATGTCAATATGTTATAGTAGGACAAGAAGAGAAAAACCAGCTGCATGTTATTATTGTCAATTTCTTCAACTGATTATGTAATTTATCAAAGTTTGGTGGTCTTAAAGATTTGCAATGAATGTTTATGCAGGTCACTCATAGCCAACCTGTCAGCTGCAAATTGCTACAAATCAGAACATTTGAAGAGGCCAGAAAATTGGGCACTTGGTAGAGTATCTTCCCTTTCTTTTTACGGTGCCCGGTCTTTGTTCAGTTTTTGCCTATATCTTCAAAAAAAACTTCCTATCTCATATAAAAACCTATTTGTATAGTTGAAAAGGCAAAATATTTCTACATTGCTGGGTTTTTCCTCACCGTGTCTCCGGAGTCCATACAGTTGGTAGCTGAACATGCTGCTGCAAAGAACAAGGTAATGCTGATGTGATTTAATTCTTTCCATTCATGCTGCGTTTTGATGTGTAGGAATGGAATGGAATGGCCATTCCACCTTTTGATTCTTTTTTATTGGTTAAAGCTAGAATGCCCATCCCCTTGGAATGACCATTCCAACAAAAAGCTGCAATGATCATTCCTCTTCTCAACTAAAAGAATGCCAATTCCATTCCCGCATAGAATTAAATCAAAATAACCCATGACTAAAAACCCTTGCTTTATTTATGTAACTTGCCTCTGGACACCCAACCACCAGCGGCAGTCACGATGTCTATTCTGTCTCCACAGTTCATCTACTACTAGTACTACTACTACTACTATTACTACTACTCTCTCTCTCTCTGTGCTGAGGTCAAAACCCCTGACTCGGGGTTGGCTACTCAAGTCATAATCAATATTACAACTCAACCCTTGATTGGTGAAATAAATTTCTTTGACAGTCCTATGAAGTCTGGGTTTCTTTCTACACGCGGATGTGTATATACACATATATATCATGGCTAATTGGCAATGTATGTGTATATTTACATATATGTATATACATGGCAGTGTACATATATATATATATATATAAAGAGACGTTTAATTATATATATTTTGATTTCCTAACATTGATTTATTCCAATTCTTTTTTAAAAAAGAATGTGTCATTCTGTTAATTTAATTGATTTATTACAAACAAGAGTAATTTATTTATTTTGATTAAACGAAGAAGAGTATTTTGGAAAAATCAATTTAAAACTTATTCCATTATAACTTTAAAACCGGTCTAGTTAAACACTGAAATGGGAATTATCGTTCCATTTCTGCATCATTATCTATCTGCAACTAAAAAGTGATTGGGCTATTCCATCCCTGACCATAATTATTTCATTACTATTTGCATTCCATTCATGCGTACCATAAGTAGCCTCATTTCTTTATTGTAGTTTCAGAAACCAATCAGCTTCTGCTTTCTTATATCTGCAGGTCTTCATGATGAACCTTTCTGCTCCATTCATCTGTGAATTCTTCAAGGATGTGCAGGAGAAAGTTCTACCGTAAGTGTTATCTCTTTCCTTTTCTCTTCCTTTCTCCATACTCCTGTAAAAAAAGGTCCAATATTGATATTCTTTCTGGATGCAGCTATATGGACTTCGTTTTTGGGAATGAAACAGAAGCTAGAACCTTCTCGAAGGTTCATGGCTGGGAGGTAAGAATCACTTTGGTGTTGGTCAAAATGCAGCACCCCTGTTAGTCTATCCTCTCCCTTATTAGTCCCCTAAAGAAAAATGGGTCAAGAAAGAGAGAGGAGACTAAAGTACAAAAAACGAATACCTGATTGGTTGGGCTTTCTTAATGGACAGACTGATAATGTTGAGGAGATTGCCATTAAGATTTCACAGTGGCCCAAAGCTTCAGGAGCACACAAGAGGATTACTGTGATTACTCAAGGTGCAGATCCTGTTGTAGTTGCTGAGGATGGGAAGGTGAAAGTATTCCCTGTGATCTTGTTACCAAAAGAGAAGCTAGTTGATACCAATGGAGCAGGTATGTGCTCTCTTCTAAGTTATAATATTTTTCTTTATTTGAGAAGTTGCTTGGAACTAAAATTAATGGATGATGAATTATTTGTTAGTTGGTGGCCATTGGATGAACAGCGATTAGTAGTTTGTGTCTATTTTAGATTACTTAATTTGTTTAAGTCTGTGAATCTAACGTGACAGTTGAGTCAGGAGATTTTAATTATCTTCATATTTTAGGAATTAAATTGGTTCCTCCTTCCAGCACAAACGCGCGCACACAAAAAACAAAATTGATAACACCTTCCTGAACTTGGAGGTGTACTGGTTCAATGGTTAATTTAAACGGAAGTGTTCTTGGGTATTTAATATGATAAGGTTAGGTAGAGAGACCAATCCAATATGGGCATGTTAAAGTGCCTATTGTTGGATTTTATTTAAATATTTTGAAAAAAGAAAAAAAGAAAAACAATGAATTCGTACATCTTTTGTCTTTGTTTTGTTATAAATGCATTTTCTCTTGCAACTCTAGGAGGATTTTGTTTCTTGCCTCATAGGATCCACAATTAAATAATCTTTTAAATTGATGAATTATTCAAGATATAGTAAACAAAAAGGTCTGGTGATGATCTATCTAAGTTGCCTCTTACTATTTAATGAAATAACCATAGAATAGACAAAGTAGTGGGATCTCCATTGGGTCGTCTTGATAAGTTAATCTTTTTTCAGTTATAATTATCTTAATTTTGTCCCAACGAAATGTTGAAAGACTCTTTATTTTACTTCTATGTTAGGGGATGCATTTGTTGGGGGATTTTTGTCTCAGTTGGTAAAAGAGAAGCCCATTGAAGAATGCGTGCGAGCTGGCTGCTACGCATCAAATGTGATTATCCAGAGGTCAGGCTGCACGTACCCGGAGAAGCCTAATTTCAGTTAGGCTTATTCTTCCCCAGCTCTATGCCTTATCCCTCAGCTCATAAATGGCAGAGTTATTTTTCCTTGCTGGTTCCGATAATGATTAATATTCCCTGCATTTTTACCTTTTTTTCGAGTTTTGAGAGGCATGATCTATTTTGAGAAAGGCAAAGATTGTTGAATTAGTTTTTGGAGATATGTCCATGGTGGAACAATGTTGTATCAACTGGTGTATGGCAAAAAAGGAAGAAAAGAGGAAAAACAAGTTTGATAGAATCTTTCTATACTCTCTTTTATTAGTCAAAGAAGGCATGATTTTTATGAATTAATTGGAAATGATCGAGTGGTTGCCCTATTTTTGTAGTCTTGCAAGCATCTCTTTGAATGGACATGTCATGTCTTCTACAAATAGACATGTTCTTTAAAAGGGGATCCTTGGAACATCTTCTTGAATACTCATGTCAAATGGAGACACCTATTTTTATGCGATTGTTGGATCACATTTTTGCTTTATGGACATCTAGCAATTACTCTGCTCTCTCTCTCTCTGCATGACTCTCCAGAGTGTCGGTAAAATTGTGAACTTACAAATGGTCAAGCCTTAAATCAAAAGATGTATGATTTGAGAATTTTTTTTTTTTTTTTTTTTTTTTTTTTTGCGTTGCACAGTGAAATAGGCACATCAAATCATTTATTACTGTGCGTGCAACATACGCGCTTGTGCATGTATTATACTAACGGTTCGAATGTGCTTGTTGCACAGTGCAATGGGCGCAAAAAAAAAAAAATTTCTCATATGATTTCTCCCCAATTCAGAAAGGGGGGAGGGGGGGTATTTATTGAAACGTCCCGGTCCTGGGGTGGGGGTTGAGACAAGTTTGTTTTTCTTTTTTTTTTTTCTTTTTTTTTTTTAACTTCAAAAACTCCAAAATAATTTTCTTCTGATAATTTATGTCATTGGCTATGACAATGATGAATTTCTTTACGCTCAAAATGGATATATTTGTTCTCAAAACTTTCGTGTGGTCTTCTCAGGTATTTAAATGTAGTATATGTTTATAAGTAGTGCGGCATCGTTTAGTCCTCCCCTCTAAAACTGGCCCCCAAAAGTCCCTATTTTGTAAATAAGCCTAATTTATGGTCCCAAAATTCATAAAAAATTTGCAATTTGCCGTCCCAAAATATTTCCAAAATACTTATTTATTGACAAAAAAAAAAAAAAAAAAAAAAAAAGAGTTCAAAAATAAATTTAACTCGTATCCTCTTGTAACTTGATATTTCCCGGAACATTTTAGCCATACTTTTAAAAACACACATTTTATGAAACAAAAATGTTTCATTATTATTGCAGTCCCCAAGTAACAAATTGTTACTTCATTTACATAAAGATATGTATATTGTTCATTATACGAATTCAACAAAGAAAAAGAAGAAAATTGTACAAAGGTCTCTTTGTTCTCAGACATTTTCTTAAGATGGTGTTTACAAGAAAAATATTCAAAATTATATATTAGTCTCCATCAGCAAGTCTTGGGAGCATAGAAATGAAGGTTATCTATGTTAATATTTTTAAATGAAAATTTTATAACTACTCATTCTATAAATATATATATATATATTTTTTAGGTAAAATCATTCTATAAATATTACTAAACTATTTTATTTTTATTTTTATTTTGATCATGGTAATCTTGTTTTGTTAAACCTTGTGAGATTTGTTTAGTTAGAATTATTATATATATATATATATATATATATATATATATATATATATATATATATATTAAAAAATATTTTATCAGGCAATAATGATATGTCTTTGGCAAAGTAGAACCAAAGTATTCCAAAAAAAAAAAAAGAAGCAAAAATGAAAATTTTGAAAAATTGGAACAATAGCTAAAGAAAAATGAATTTTGAAAAATTGGAACAATAGCTAAAGAAAAACCCCCTTGAAGTATATATTGGAACAATAGCTAAAGAAAAATGAAAATTTTGAAAAATTGGAACAATAGATAAAGAAAAACCTTGAACTATGTTGAAATTTGCAAATAACCCCCTTGAAGTATATATTGTGCATAAAACCCCCGAACTATCACATTTATTTGCAAAATGCCCCAATGCCTTGACTGTATTTCATAATGCCCTTTCTTATTGAATTAAATTTAATCTATAGTTCTTATTGTAACATATTCATACTAATTTGATAACATATTATTCATTAAATTTGCATAAATTTATCTTTAAAATTTGAAATTAATTTTTAAATAAAAATCTTAATTAGAAATTTTTTAAAACAATTTAAGTAATTATTTCTTAATTTTTAAAGAACATGTTGCATAAAAAAGAAGGTATTTTTTATTTAAGTAATTTATTTTATGAATATATTGTATGAAAAAGAATGTATTTTTTATGGTAAAAAAGTTTAAAGTGGGTGTAATAAGTTTCATTATAAATAATAAAGTTTTAATAATAAGTTAATCAGTTTAGAAAATGGTAGGTACAAATCTACTTATTTTTTTATTTTATTTTTATGATAAATTGATAGTAATAAGAAAATTAAGATAAATGGTATAATTAATATTTTGATAAGAGAAAGTATAATAAAAATAGTTTAATAAGAAATGAAAAAAGTAGCGAGAGAGGGTAAAATAGTATTTTTGTTATAAATTTGTCTTTAATTGCAACAAATCAATAGTTCAGGGGAGCAATTTGTAGTTCTGGAAGGTTATTTGCAAAAAGGCAACAGTTTAAGGGAGTTTTTTGTACTTTACCCTATAGAAAGTTACATAACAATTATTTAAAAAAATTAAATTTTAATGATATACTGGTAATACTAATTTGACCCCAAATCAATATTCTTGACTCCATCCCTGAATGTATGTCCTCTGGGAAGCATAGCATTTTCCATATTAATAATTTTTCATCTTTGTTCAAGATATCTTAGTACTAGTTAATAAAGGGGAAAAAAAACCACAATTTTTTTTTTTTGGTCAAAAAAAAAAAAAAAGATGAGCAACCAAATAGTATATAGTCACCTCCATCCGCCAGGGAAAAACTTAATACATAGGAGCTTTAGAGTTGGGCAATATTGGCATGCATTGAAAGCACCACAGAGGTTACTCTTATAGCGTTGTGTTTGGTAAACTATGATTTTGTAAGAAGATAAGAACCCTAAATATAAAATCACAGTGCATGTAAAAGTGTTCTTCCATTCTAGATATATAGCCTCAAGTATCCTGACAGTTCAATCTTTAGTGTTTATTATTTTGACATCATCTGAGCTTTAGTGCATGTGCTCATGACATCTCCAGGACTCTCTTTCCAGTAGACCTGCTGATTAAATTTTATAAAATGACAATTTTGCTTTTCCCTTATATGAAAAGATAATAGGATAAATTACACTGACCTGTCATGGATTTTCAGATTAACAAATATTTGCAATATAATATATTATTATGATATAAGAGCATTACTGACTTTTCACACTCAACGTTTTCGGGTAGCCAGAGAACGGGTTTAAAGGTAATAAACGCTGAATAGTCTATCTGTGTATAATTTGCCTAAACATCAGGGTGGCCAGTGTAATTTATCCAAAAAAAAAAAATTAACCACGGGACTAGTACAACATATGAGGCTCCGGCCAATACAGAATCTGGGAGGGTGAGATGTATATTTGTAGGTAATGTTTCCTTGAACTTTTATAATAATAATTATAAAAAAAAAATCCACATTTGTAAGAAGGAACCTAGACAAAGAACAAATAGCAAAAGCTAGGTCAGTAATAGCATGCCGTGTCATTTGAACTAATAAGTGGGACGTACTAATCAGAACTCCATACATATAATACTCTCACCAAGTACTCAAGAAGCTAGTACTCTCTATCACTTGATAATTAAAGGGCACTTAGAGCTGGCAAGCCTGGCTTGAAAAATGGTGAGGAAGATGTTCTCATTGCATGGAATTTGAAGTTTAGAGCCTTCATTGAATTCAAAATTCTCTTCAACTTGATCGAGCAATGTTTTGAATAGAGGATGCTTGAGTAAGCTCAACTTCACCACATATCTCTTGCATTCTTTGCCTACATACACTACAAAATGACCCTTTGGCACATCTAAAGGGACAAACCCCTCTTCACGGGAGAAAGGACACAAGTCCTCAACTGTAACATGGACCCAACTTACAGATTTCAAGACCCTCTTAGCCATTTTCCTGCACTTTCTAAGGCACTCCTTGAGAACACTCCTCTTCCTTATCATCACCATACATATATATATATATATATATGTATGTATATAGAGAGAGAGAGAGAGAGAGAGCTGTTGAATGAAGTGATAACCGAGGTTTCTATATATAGAAGTCTATGCAAGTAGCTTACCCTTTTAACCCAAAAAAAAAAAAAAAAAGAGTCTATGCAAGTCATTTTTTATTTATTTTTATTTTTTAACCTAACCAAGACAAAAAGAAACGGGTAGTCATCAATTGGGAAATATCAAATGGTCGAATACATGAAGGGAGCGACTAACATAAACTATGCAATAAGACAAAGGATGATTTCATTTTGTCCCTCAACAGGGTTTTAACAGTGCATGTGTCACTCCAATCTTATCACAAGACTGTTTGACGATTTGACACATACATGCATAAAAAGAAAAAAACACACTCAACCCAAAACATTATTTTGGACTATGAACAAAAACTCAAATAAATTTATTGTGTTTTGCATAAAACTTGAAAGCAAATTAAAAACAATAATTATACCTGAAGTATCAGGGAGCCCTTTCATAACAGCACTCATGAGCTCTCCGAAATTCACTATTGAATTAAGAAAATATTAAATCATTCATTTGATTTTTTACAGATTTCAAAAAACTATTGAATTAAAAATATATTAAATCATTCATTTGATTTTTGACAATATAAATTACAATAGAGCTAAAAATTGCCATTAGACATTCAATATTGCTCCATAAATTGTAATGTATATAATGCGTCACCAATTAACTGCCGACCTATGGTTAGGAGGAAAAATACGACAAATTTGTATATAAATGACTCTATTACGAGGATGCTCTCACCATGAGCTAACGTCGTTCTCAACTATTGAATTGAGAATCCACGTATGTTATAACCTTTCAATTCAACTGTTAAAGATGCAAATTAAGACGCAATGGTCATAACAGTCTTAATTTTTTCCTATAGAATTGCATATTTGACGGTGTATATCATAAGTTGTGGATCATGGACCCTATCGATAATGATTTATATGCTACAGATTTTTTTCTTGACCAATGTTTGCTATATATTTGCGTGTGTATGTGTGTGTGAGCAGAGAGACAATATTTTGGTACTGAGATG